GTGCTAAGGAGGGAAGTGCTAAGGAGGGAAGTGCTAAGGAGGGAAAGATGTATTCGCGCGCCCCGCCAGCTGCCGACCAGAGTAGAAAGGCTACAGCCCGGGGGTGGGGGTCTTTCAGTTGAAGGTGTTTCTTAAGGTTTGAGGGAGGAAAAAAGAGCAACCATGAACGGGAGCAGCACCGTCAGTGGTCAGTGGATGTGGTGAACTGAGAAAAAGAAGAGTGTTTAGCGCTCGCATTTATCTCTCTGCTTCCTCTCTCTGCTTCCTCAGATTCAACATGACCACACCTCAAGCTCCTACCACCATGCCTTCCCCTCTATGACAGACTGTACCCTCAAACTGTGAGCCCAAACCATCCTTTCCTCTTTTAAGTTGTCAAGTATTTTGTCACAAGGAGAATGTAACTCATACGAAGGGACATTAATCTGTTGTGGTGGGGAGGCATGACAGTGGGCATGAAACAGGTGTCTGTTACCTGGTACAGAGAGCAGAATGTGACCAGACAGGAAGCAAGGCTGACCTATATCACCCCCAGACACACCCCACACTGATCTGTTTCCTCTATCCAGGCCCCACTCCCTGAAAGCTTCACAAGCTCCTAAAACAGCATGGTAGCTGGGGGACAAGTATTCAAACACAGTCTGCAGCAGACATGTTATATTCAAAGGGTAACACACGTCCTTGGAGGACCATGTTCTTGGGGGAACCGGGGTGTTAACCTGTTTAATGCTCTTTCAAGTTGGCTCAGAACAAACCAATTCTTCTTTCTGAACTGTCATTGTTTTTAATGTCAATAGTCAGCATGGTGATTTCCTCATTATGTTTTCTCTTTTAAACATGCTAAGGGTGGACCCTGAGGCCTTGTGTATACTAAGCAAGAGATGTACTACTGAGCTACTTACCCAGCCCTAAACAGTTTGCTTATAGGTAAAGAGAATATATTCTATAACACAATAGGAAGTGTAGTATAGTAAATTCTTAAGCCAGTAATATAGCTATTTATTGTTATTATCAAGTACTATAGATAATATTTAAAACATTTATTTTGTGTGTGTGGAGGTCAGAGAAAGACTCAAGGGAGTTGGTTCCCTCCTCCCACCATATAAGTCCCAGGGGATTGAATTCAGGGTTTAAACTCAGGTTTAGTGACAGGTGCTTTACCCACTGAACCTGTCCTGTACATAATTTTGTTTGCAATATTTTTGTTTCTTATTATTTTTTGGTATCTTTTTTCATTATTTTTTTAATTCTTCTATTACTACTCATATTTACATATCCATCCCCCCATTCTCTCACTCTCCCATCCCGTTTTCCCCACAACCCTCTCAACCCATCCCCAACTTCTCCCCATGGGGTAGTGAGGCCCTCCACAGGGGACCTTTAAGTCCATCATGTCATTCGGGGGAGGGCCTAAGCCCTCCTTGTTGTATCTGGGCTACAATAGTATCCCTCCATAGGGAATGGGCTCCCAAAGCCCATTGTGCTCTAGGGATAAAGACTGGCTCCACCGTTAGAAGTCCCATAGACTATCTTGGCCTACTAGCTGGCACCCGCATTCAGAGGGCTTAGTTTTGTCCTATGCTGTTTCCCCAGCTTTATGACAAGGGTCTCCATACTATCAGTAAG